AGACCACCTGGACAGAACTCGGACTGCAGTGCGGTACGGACGGGTCCCACACTCGACCAGCGTGACAAGCTGGCCGAGTCCCGGTATGGGTTCTGACCCGCCGTGCGTGGAGCGTCGGGTCTCTGGATGCTGACGACGCTGTTGAGCAGCTAGCAGAAGGGCGGTGTCACAGGTAATGGAATGTCTCAGAACTTGGTCATCCGAGAAGAACCGCTAAAGAAAATACAGGATTTCCAACCCCTTTCCCGAGCCCGTCCACCCCGGAGCGTGACGCTGCAGGATTCAGGGGGCTGAGTGGGAGCCCGGCTCAGCCGCCCATAGGTCTGGAATCGCCATTTCCTGCAGCGTAACCCGATCTCCCGGTCCTCCGGGACGCGTGGTCGTGCTTAATCGGCGGCGGCCACCACAGCCTCCCCCTGGGTCCGAGGACTTTCACATCCGCTGGGCTTGGAGCTTCTGGGATCCGCGCCGTTCCAGCCCCGCAGGGAAGCATTCCTGGACTCTCCCGGCCGGCCGCTGAACGCCAGTCCTGCGCTCTGTCCGGCCGCTGAACTGCAGAAACCCCTTTTACCAGCGAGAGCCGAGTGAGGTCATGCTGTTCCACGTCACGGTGCAGAGGGGCCGGCCGGCCCCCCCAGCCCCAGCCCCAGCCCCAGCTGTCTGCCTGATGGACAACAGCTGGCGCGCATCCACAGCCCAGCACTCCAGATCCTTGAAACACATCTGCCAGCCCATTTCCAGCCCTCCCTGGTCTGATACTTGATCCCGGGTGAGCCCTGGGGTCAGATTGGGCTGGAGGCGCTGTGTGAGTTTGCTGTGCAAGAAACCATATGTGCTTCTCCGCTGTGTCCTGTGGAGAGGAGCCACAGGTTGTTCTGCGCTGGTTTTCAGATTTCCCATGTTGTTAACTGTGCTTTGCTTTGCTTTGCCTCCGTTTCCTAAGGCTGATATCTTTTGTAAACACAGCTGCAAGGGCTTTCACCATAATCTCACTGCTTTCTGGTGCCTAACTGCGTTTTTACTGTGCTATACCATAGTGGACTTTAATAAGGCTGGTCACTGGAACTTAAAGTAAAGCTTGCAGCTTCAAGACTTAAATCAAAGATGTACTATACAAATGCGAGAGCCAGCTGGAGTCTGTATTGTACCACTTTGTACTTATACCATACTTCACCATGCTTAGTATAGTATACTGTACACTACTCTACTGCACCGTACTGTAGTGCACTGTGCTCTATAATCTCTGATTGGTTCCAGAACCTGAAAATGTTTCAGCCAATAGCCTAACTTCCACTTCATAGGTACTTAAGTGTGAAAACAATAACATTCCTGGTGAAACATTCCAGTATCATTAAAGTCATTAGCCAACGCATAAACAACAGGTACAAAAACAATAAAGCCCCTGCTCATTTACTGAGTATGACATAGGTACTATCATGTACTGTACGCACTTAACACATGTATGTCAATTGTGATCAAAATAGCAAGTTAATTCCTCATGTGAGAATTTACGAGATGCGAAATTAATGAAAAAACATTAAATGAAAAAAACAGGTAGGAATGACTACATCTCAAATAAATAAAACCTTATAGTGAGGGATTACTGAAATTACTACATTGTAGAGCAATGAGATGCAATAATGTATTACACTGTACTGTACTGCAAAATAGTGTACCTCAATGTACTATACTGCACCATACTATACTACACTCTACTACACAGTAGTGTACCATACCGAACTGCTCTACTGGACAATAGTGTA